AGCGAGCATTATCTTGAATTAATTGCTAAATTTTCACCTCTGTGGCACCTGCTGGCCAGTCTCTGCATTCCCGGCTCAGCGTGATTATGACTCTACACAAGTCTGACTGCTCAGGTGGCACTTTGACCCACTCCTCTCCTCGCCTAATGTTCTCAAGGATGCAAACCTGTCTGATTGTGTCTTCTGCCTGAGCCATCCATGACCTCCCTCTTATCAGCCGCTGACCCTTAATTGCACCCAGAGCTTCATGCAGAGTGTGGTCTGTGTCTGCAGCTACCCTGAGATATGACTTCGCCTGCATCACTTTGTGCCTACCTGCAACCGTCGGCAAACCAAGGATGTATCGCATACAAAACCACTGGGGTGTCTCTGGTGCAACCCAGAATGACCCGCATAGCCGCGTTCTGTATGCGCTCTAGTTTGTCCTCTGACTCTTTGAGACGGTAAGCAGTCCCAGGCCATAATCCACCACTGACAGGATCAGGTGCTGATATAGTGCACTAAGTCCTTTTTGGCATCTCGTCACAACACTCTCCACATGGTCCTTAAATGACAGGCTCCTGTCAAATGTAATTCCCAGATACTTCAGTTTGCTCTCTCTGTTGACGTCTCTACCATCTATCGTGAGACTTGGGATTTTAGTTTTAACGATTCTGTTGTCCAGAGAACACCACAAAACAGACGCCTTTTCCGGGTGGACGACAGCCTTCATTTCTGTACACTACTCAGTCACTTTGTCTACTGTCGCTTGTAGCTAACGAGCTGTTTGTTCCCTCTCTTCCCCCTGCCTATATGCAAGTATACACTATCCGCAAAAAGTCAGTATCCTTCCAACTCCTGGTGCTTCTAGTCTTGCACGTATACACGTTAAAGAGCACAGGCGAGATGGCGGATCCCTGCGGCAGTCCTGGGGCCAAAGTGCATGGTTCAGAGGTCCATGAGCCCAGTCGGAGAGCAATCAGACGTGAATACAGGACAGCTGCAACCCAATTCACCAGCCATGGATTGACCTCCTTCTCCCTCAGTGCAGTCATTAAGATGTCGTATCTCACTCTGTTATAAGCATCCTCGAGATCTAATCCTACCGCCATAGTTTCCTGTCTGTTCTGGAACCCTTCATAGACGTCAAAAGCAAAAGTGGCCGCATTTGCCCAAGTGTCCTTTCCTGGCCTGTAACTTCCCAGACCTCTTGGGAGAAGCTTCCCCCTTTCCAAAAATTCTTGTAACTTTATAGCAACTATCTTCTCCAAGACCTTCCTAACTGTGTTTTGTAAGGTGATGATTCTAAAGCCACTAAGCTTAGAATGATCTTCAAAAGGTTTTGATAGCGGGATTAGATAGCTGTGCACCCAGGAAAATAACATCCACGGCTCAAAAGATCTTCAAACGGACCAGAGACTACATGTTGCAAACTGTGTCAGTGCACTGATGCACCAAGAATTAGTAGCATATCAAATCATAAAAATCCGAAAAACACAGGATGAAAACTCTGTCAAAAAGCAATTCACAGCTTATTACAACATAGATTTCTAAGCAGAGTAATGATACAGTTGAAGGCAGCAGAGTTGCAACTTGCTGTAGGCATGACCTGCCATTGTGCAATACGCACAATTGATCATTTAAGTGAAATAATGAGAGCGCATGGTCGGGGAAGTACACTGGAGCACACACAGTTGCATATAACTAAATGTTCATGCCTAAAAAAAAAAAAAAAAAAAAAAAAAAAACGATATCGCCTGCACCTAAAGATGATCTTATTGATGATTTTCGGAACAAGAAATATGCCATCATTATAGATGAGTTGCAAAGACTTTATCCCATCTGAGAAAATGCTTATTAAAGATTTTACATCTCAAAAGGTTTACGCTAAATCTTCCACTGGTTCCAGTGAGGAAGACAGTGAAGAATTCAATCTAGAGCTTTTGATGTGAAGTGAGTACAATGTTACACTTTATTTGGCATTTTCTGGCATGTTTTGGGTAATGGTTTGACATAAAATGTTTTTTATCTGGTAACCCTGCTCCCAAGTTCTGAGGTAGTTTCCAAGTGCTCTGACACTCTCCTCTCCCAAGTCTTCAGCTCACTCTGTAGGCTGAGGGCGTCCGTGTTTGCCAGCACATACTCCATGATCGTTGGAGCATGGTATTTGCTCATATTTGTTCGCAGATTGTGGTTGTTCTTTTCAGCCTGTGATATCTCCGACTAAACAGCCTTTACCTCTGCATCAACTCTTTTCATGAAGTCGACGCGCACTGTAATATCGTTCTGAATCCTTTCAGATTCTTTGTTCAAATCTTAAAGCGTTCTCTTGTGCAAGTTAAGGGCTTTCTGTGCGTTTCCTGTCATTAGTTTCAGCTTTAGTAAGTCCTTGCTTCTCTCAGAAAATGTTTGCTTGTATTGCTGATTAATGATTCTCAGCTGGTCATCATTTATTGTTATTTTTGGGTGACAGTCAGTTTTATCTGTGGACATTGTTTTCGTTTTCTTTAAATTCAAGAACAGATTTTGATCTTTACTGTGCTTTTGGACAGACAATATTACATTTTCTATTCCCTTTACGCTGTTCGAAAGGAGGACTGTGTCGTCTGCGTAGCGGAGGTCCGGAATAGGGTTGCCACCAATTTTGGGCGGATCATAACTGTCACAAGTCTGGTCATTTTTGACATTTCTCATTATATTTTCTGAGTATATATTGAATAGGTATGGTGAGAGAATGCACCTCTGCCTCACCCCCTTTTGCACCTCGAACCAATCAGATGTTTCACCAGCTGCTCTGATGGCTGCTTGTTGTTCATGATAAATGCACTAAATGCGCTGGAAACCCCATACTTTTCATAGTAGTCCACAGTTGGTGGTGCTGGACACAATCAAACGCCTTGCTATAATCAATAAAACAAGCATGAAGATCTACGTTGTATTCTCTGCATTTTTCAAAAATTATTCTCATATTAGATATGTGATCCTTAGTTCCTCTACCCTGTCTGAAACCCGCTTGTGCTTCATTTAGTTCATATTGTAATTTCTTTTCAATCCTTTTCATAATAATTCGCAAGAGGATTTTGCTAGCATAACTTATTAATGCGATGGTACGGTAGTTGGGGCATAGTTCTGGATTTCCTTTCTTTAGGAGATGGATATAGACTGTTCTTTTCCACGCTTTAGGCCAAATGCTACTGTTACTGACAGGGTATAAGACATTTAATTCTATAGCAACACTGACACGTAGAAGACATAATTCTATAGCACCACTGACAAAGTATAAGACATATCATTCTATATCAACAACAACAGGGTACAAGGCACAGATATTCTATAGTAGCATCAACAGAGTAGAATACACATTAATTCTACACCACCACTGACAGGGTCATCATCGTCATCATGTAGCAGGTCCTTTGCAGAACGTCGCTCTCATCACAGTATGCCTGACAAAAACTCGGTCTCTCGCCATCTCTCCCGTCTTCTGTACTTTCATACTCAAGGAGTCACATGTATTCTGTGCCCATCTTCGTGTCGGTCGGCCCCGGCCCCTCCTTCCTGAAACCATGCCTTCTGCTATATTTTTTTCCAATTCGTGGTGGCGCTTGATACGACCAAATTATTTCAGCTTCCGAAACAGAATGTTTTTTATTAGCCAATCTTCCTTGATGTTCAGATCTTTCAAAATGTCAGTTTTTCTCCTCTTCTTTGTCCAAGATATTCTGAAAATTTTTCTATAGCATTTCAACTTAAAAGCCCCTATTCTTTTTCCCAAGGACTGAGAGATAGTCCACGACACATCCGTATGATGCCACAGGGAAGATGCATGCTCTCAAAATTCTAATTTCGATCTCCTCGCTGGTGCTTAACCATAGACTTTTAAAGCTATTAAATCTTTGCATTGCTATGGCCATCCTCCTTTTAATCTCTGTCAGTCTCCATTGATGTTTATTATGGAGCCTAGATATTCAAAGTTTGTGACATTTACTGACATATAAATATAATTCTATATATAATTCTATAGCAAAACTGATAAGATAGAAGATATGTAGTTCTATAGCAATAATTCTACATCAACATTGACAGGGTATGAGACTTATAATTCTATAGCAACAATAACAGGGTGTGAGACATATAGTTTCATAGTAATACTGACAGCGCAGAAGATATAATTCTATGGCACAACTGCCAGGGTATAAGACACATAATCCTATAGTAACAACGTCAGGGTACAAGCTACACATATTCTATAGCAACATCAACAGACTAGAATACACATTAATTCTATACCACCACTGACACAGTAGAAGACAGACTGATTCCAAAGCAACACTGCCAGGGTAGAAGACACATAGTTTCTGTGGCAACACCGACAGGGTAGAAGACACATAGTTTCTGTGGCAACACCGACAGGGTAGAAAACACATAGTTTCTGTGGCAACACCGACAGGGTAGAAAACACATAGTTTCTGTGGCAACACCGACAGGGTAGAAGACACATAGTTTCTGTGGCAACACTGACAGGGTAGAAGACACCATATTTCTACAACAACGCTGACAGGGTACAAGACATGCAGTTCTATTGCATACCTGACAGGGTAGAAGACACATTAACTCTACGACATCAATGACATCAACCGCAGTGAAACGAAAAGACATTAGTTTTACAACGCAGTTCTCTTTATTCAACATGTCCGTAATATATACCCTGAAAGAACATTCAGTATTAAAACAAAAAGATAAAATATGGAATTTAACACAACAAACGCAATACAATACAACAGTTCCTCGGTATGTCAGCTATCTAAATCAAATGCAGACAAATGCTGAAAGTATACAAAATGCACATACGGTTTCCGTAGGTCACAACTTCAGCAGCATGGCATAAATCATGTAATTCTTTAAACAACTGTTAGCATAACAGTAAACTATTTTTTCTCACAAACAATAAATTACAGACTATGGTTTCTAAACTATATGACCATAGTGTCAAAGACTGGCAGTGGCAACAGGCTGCCAGATTACAAGAAATTTACAGGGATTTGAATTTCCTTTGGTGCTTCAGGAGCTCTCTTCGCAACCCTGATGGTTAAAACTCCTTGTCCGTTCATTGTTGATGTCACAGACTTGGCATCAACATCCTGCATAAGTATATTTAATTCATTAAGAATAATAAAACAGAGACAAATAGTGAAACTTGTAGTAAAATAAACATACTTGAAAAGAGAAAACAAACAAACAAACAAACAACAGAAGAAGAGCATAAAGCCTAGCCATTCAAGCCCCATCCATTTGGCCAAGCTATCCTTGTATTTATCCTTTGCCTGTCGGTGGTTCTTACCACAATTTTTTGCCAGTTCTCACCAAGTTCTCCAATCCAATCCTTTCCACAAGTCCAAAAGCACTGTCTACGTCTAATTTATCAGATCAGTTCGGACGAACGAACAAATGAACTTTATTTTCAAAGGGTCACAAATTGGGCACTTAGGCCCGTCTTGCATTCGGCCCTTCCAAACACCCGTCTCTCGCACTGAAGCTGTATTTTATCAATAAGCATGTTATATTAATATGATAATATGCATATTATGAATATCAAGAAGAAAAAACACACACACACACAAAAGCATGGGTAGTAAAATGCATGCAGACACCAGCGCGCGCGCACACACACACACACGCCCGCGCACTCACTTAGACACGCAAATATACACACCCACATACACCCGCATACATACCCACACAAACACGCACATTCAACACATATAGATACATACAGATACACACACAGACGCCTCCACATAAAAAAAACAGACACACACACAGACATACGCGCACAGTTCCGATTGTTCAGCTATCTCGAGGAGACATGCATCGTTTGTTTTTCTATCATTCTATAATATTCTTTTCACCCCCCCCCCCCCACACAAAACCACCAACAAACACATATAGTCTAAGAACACAGTCTTACCGGAGGTAACTTATAGATGCGAGTCATTTCTCTGGTCACAAAACCATGGTTGTCTTCCTTCTCTTCATGCTTAGCATTGATGACAATCTTGACGTTGTCAGAAGTGATATTAACTTCCTCTGGCCTAAAGTGATGCAGATCCAACCGCACACGAAACTCTTTATCCGTATTGTGAATCTAACAAAATGTAACAATGCAATGTGAGAATTAAAAATTTTTTTTTTTACTGCGTTTGGAGACTTTGAGACGGGGAGTCAGAGAAAATGAACAACCCGTTGGATATGTGTATTAAACGAGCATGCAGAAACAGACTGGTGGCAAAGAAAGAAAATATATACCAATTAACGATTACTGGCTACGTTGAGCATAGAGACACTGAGATAACTCGCAATCGCAGGATAGGGCCTGAGTGGGTTGAATCGATGTGCTAGGACGTCGATTACTGATTTAAGAATTGACATCATAGCACACCGAGCATACCCACAGGTACTCCGTTTAAGGTGTAGATGCTAACTGTTCCAGTACCACACTGATTATATACACGTCGTTCTCTCCCTCTCTTGGATCCACACTTAACTTCTCGTTCACACATGTTCGCACATGTTATTTCATCAAATCTCGTGTCCTCTGTCAATTTATTTTTCATACATACTCTTCCGAATATCTCCCTTGTCCAGCATGAGTGCTCCTGTAGCTTTCGTTTTTGTGGCCAGAAAATGCCGCTCTAGCCTTTACTTGCGTTCCCGCATAGTATATCCACGTCACGTGACTCCCTGCAATGTTTTCGCATTGATGTTTGGCATCCACTCATGCCACATTAGCCTTTTTTTTAACACTCTGCAGGACCGACTGAGAATCAGACACAATAATTCTTCTGCTAACTTTGTTTTCTGCTATCCAAATCGAAGCTGCAGTGATTGCTTCCACTTCCATCACCCTGTCTGGAATTGTAGATACAAATGCTTCATTTTAATCTGCCACTATCTTTCTAGTTGAAAATCTCCAGCGAGATCTCACACCTCGATGAACAGAACCAGTGGTATACTAGGACGTCGATAAAAACAAGTCATTGTAGGAAAAAAATGCACGTATTTAGGAGCAGTGGGGTCAAAACTGAGCATTAATGAGCAATACAAGACTCTTAATGTCTTAATATTAGTCTTTCTTGCTCAAGCCTATCTCGCCTTTAGTTGTAGACCCCGTTGTTCTCAGCAATCCAGTTAAAGGTTGGGGTCTCAACCCCCAGTGGGATACTGGATGGGACAACAAACGAGGTAAAGGCGAAGGGAAGGGCCTACTCTCCCTCTCAAGAAATCCTGGTCGGAAATACTGGTCCAGAAGGCGGCTCAAAAACCACAGTACAACGCAGCCCCGTGTTTATATATATATATATATATATATATATATATATATATATATATATATATATATATATATATATATATATATATATATATATATATATATATATATATATATATGATTACACCGTCAGACAAATTGAATGTTAGTGCTCGCCCTATGGAGCTCCACCAGGCAGGTACAGTGCCGGGTTCAGAGCCTCGACAGAATCCACACCCAGCTACTGGATGACCTCCTAGACCGTCTTGTGGAATCAGGAGACGACGGAGGATAGCTACTGACCAAAATCAGTTAGACAGAAAAGATCCCAGATTGCTTTTTGTCATAATGCACTGGAATGCAGAGGGGTCAGCAGTAAGCAGGCTGGCTACAGCAAAAAGATGGAGCTAGAAAACATCCTCTATGAAAAGAATGTCAGTGTATGCTGCATCCTAGAGCCCCATTTGCAGGCAGATCAGATATTTAAAGTGAGAGGCTACCAGTGCTTCAAACCTGATAGACAAGGCAGGCGGAAAGGGGGAGTACTTACCATTGTTAAAAACAGCACCCATTCATGGGAGAAGATGTCTTATATGGATGGAGCTGAGTACCAACTCTTGCAGCTTAAGACAGACAAAGCGGAATTAAATCTTTTCATCTACTACTGTCCCAATGACAAACCGTTAAGTCTCAGCTCTGTGCTGGTACCAGATACCAACTTTATTGCAGTTGGAGACTTCAAAAGTCATTCACAGAGCTGGGGCTATAACCATCTCGACGATAGGGGTAAAGAGGTGGGAACATGGCAAGATGCTCATTATCTAATCGAGGTCAGTGCCCCATCAGATACCCCTAACTTCTACTCCAGAAGGTAGCAGACAACGTCAGCCCCAGATCTTACCTTTTCTACCCCAGATAGATCTGGAATCATAAGTATGGAGGGTGGGGGGCAGTGACCATCGCCCGATTTTTCTTACTGTCCAGAATGTATCAGTTAATACAGGCCCAGTCATCACAAGATGGAACTACAAGAAAGCCACCTGGGGCCTGTACAGACACAGGGCAAGCACATTGCTGTCTGCTTTCAAGGTACAAAATAGGGATATCAATGCAATAGTGCATGATTTCAAAAGAAGTATTCTTCAAGCTGCAGAAGAAGCGATCCCCAGAGGTTGTTGACACAACTACAGACCGTACTGACCCGGCACACTCCAGGATTGTCAGGAAACAATGAATCAGGCTAGAAAGGATACAGAATCCCAACCTTCACCTGACAACCACACCAAATGGAAAAAGGCTGTAGCAGTGTTCCAGAGAACTCAACTTGCAGAAAAAAAGGAAAATCTGGAGAAATAAAACAGCAGTTTTAAACCTTGAGAAAGATGGCAAGAAACTGGAGATTTGCCAAATCACTCAATGGAGAGAGTTTTCTCCTAGACAAACAATCACACTGAGTGATGGTGACAAAATCTTCAGAGAAAAACAAGCTGCAGATTTGTTTGCCAGAACATACAGTGTTGAAAGCAACCTGACCCTTAACGAGGACCACCAGCGAAAAAAAAGGAAAGAAATGCAAACAAGTAAGAGACAGACAGATACTTTTGCTTCTATGAGGGAGCCATTTATTTACCATGGGTGAAGATCAAAATGCCATCTCCAGGCTTAAGTTTAAAAAGTCTGCAGGTCCAGATGAAATTAGCAATGAAATGCTGATCAACTTGAGCTCAGCTGCTAAAGTTAAGATGCTGGAAATTTTCAACATCAGTTGGAAGAAAGGTTTGGTGCCTCAAGTATGGAGAGAAACCATCACAATACCCATTTAAAAAAAAAAAAAAAAATTAAGACCCAAGCTTCGAGCTATCGACCTATTGGTCTCTAAAGCTGTGTAGGAAAGACATTGGGAAGAATTGTACATTCAAGACTGAAATGGCACTTAGAATCTAAGCAGATCTTGGTGTCAGAGCAGGCTGGATTTAGAGAATGTCACAGCATTGAAGACCAAGTCACCTACCTGTCACAGGCGGTAGAGGATGCCATCCAAGAGAAGAAAAAGGTCCTGGCGGTATGGGTTGACTTCAAACAAGCTTTTGACAAAGTTTAGAAAAAAGGTCTCATTGAAAAACTGAAGAGAAATGGAGTCCAAGGAAACATACTAAAATGGATCCAATCCTTCTTACACAGCAGGAGAACTAGAGTCAGTCTTGGTGGCCTGCACATCAGAAAATGGTTGCTTCGCCAAGGAGTACCACAGGGGTGGAGTTATCTCTTCAACTCTATTTCTTGTTTATATAAATCACCTGGTGAAAAACCTCCCAACAGGAGTAAAGGTTGCCCTGTATGCAGATGATATGGCACTCTGGTGTCCTGATAAACACACCACAGTGGAAAATCTAAGAATGCAGCGAGCAGCAGATCTTCTAATGACATGGGCAGAAAAATGGCATGTCCCATCGTCAACACAGACAAAACACCCACAACGCTTTTCTCTCTTTCCCCCGGGGACAAAGCTGCTAGTATTCACATAAGAACCTCCTTGCTAAAAGAAGAAAGCTTTCCCACTTTTGATATAAGTCTCCCGTGGAGCAAACCTATAGAAACTGTAGAAGGCAAGGCCAGGAGACGACTAGGCCTACTGAGAAAACTGGCGGGTACAAGATTTGGGAGCGAATGAAAAAACCCTAAAGAAAGTTTATAATGGAGCGATAAGACCCCACTTGGAGTTTGGTGCAACAGCATGGTCAACGGCTGCTAGTTCCCATCTACAATCGTTAGACAGAGTGCTAAATCAAGCCCTTAGATAGGATCCATGAAAACTGCACCAATCCTGGAGATGCAGAAAAAAAACTGCAATGCAGACATTTTCCTACAGAAGAGATACTTAAACTATGATCCAGATGGAGAAGATCATGCAGTCACATCAAATGAATGCAAGATGATGTAATCTGGCATTGGGGCGTCTCAAACGTAGCAGCTTTGTCCATCGGGGGAAAAGACTTAGAAGACAGTATCAAGCACATCTACCTATTAAAACAACACCACTGAAACCTACCCTAGACCATGTACCTTGGGAGCAAGTCAGTGATATACAGATAATGACTCCAGTCAATGGATTCACAACTGGGTATGAGTCCAATGACTTTCAAAAACGAACAGCTGCTCTTAACGTGATTCAGAAAAAAACTATCCCGAACAGTTGTGGATACATGTTTACACGGATGGATCAGCAACCAGTGCGTTTAAAAAATGGGGGCGCTGGCGTCTTTATTACATACCCAGGCAACCACCGCCTCACAAAGTGTATCATCATCATCAGGTGCCTTGCCGACTGGCGTGGGCGATCATTCCTCTCCATAATCTGCGATGAGTCCAATGACTTTCAAAAACGAACAGCTGCTCTTAACGTGATTCAGAAAAAAATATCCCGAACAGTTGTTGATACATGTTTACACGGATGGATCAGCAACCAGTGCGTTTAAAAAATGGGGGCGCTGGCGTCTTTATTACATACCCAGGCAACCACCGCCTCACAAAGTGTATCATCATCAGGTGCCTTGCCGACTGGCGTGGGCGATCATTCCTCTCCATAATCTGCGATATCCTGCAGCTTGTATTTTTTTTTTTTTTTTTTAACATATCCAGAAACCATGAGTTGTAAACCCTTTGGCTCGGTACTATGGATATCGCAACCCTTCGGCATTGATTCCATTATGGGTACCGTTAATCTGGGAGAAATGTGGCTTTTCTGCCTACCCCCGGGAGTGAACCCGGACCACAAGGAGTTCGTCACCCGGCCGCCGCGAAAGTCAGGTTTAACCAACTTCGCTAGAGAGCCGGGCTGCAGCTTGTATCAGTTCGTGTGCCGACACACCTCCATGCCATGCAACAAGACTGTCAAGCATCTTTTCTCGTTGTCTTCCTCTACCTCTCCTTCCACATATCTTTCCAGTGGTCACAACATGTTCTATTTTCCCTTTTCTCATAACATGGCCGGAAATTGATGACTGTCTCCTTCTGATGTCTGTGATAAGTTGTCTTCGGGCTCCCGCCTCTTTCAAAACCTCTTGGTTGCTCTTTCTGGCTATCCAAGATATTCTAAGCATTCTTCTGTAAAACCACATCTCCGAGGCCTCCAGAAATTGTTTGGCCTGTCTACCGATTGTCCAAGATTCACAGCCATTTGTTAAAACTGGATACAAAGTGTATACCCATTGGTAAATTGTGTACTAAAGCAGGCTGCCGAAATGTTACACAACATCAGTCATATATTTTATTAAAAAGTAAGTAGATTTCTTTAATAAAAAGTAAGCATGTGACTTTCAGAAATACTGTGGTGCATAATGCAAAAATAAGTTGTTCATTGTAGCGCACGTAAAAATTCCCTTGGTAGTTGGAAATCGAAAAGTGTAGCCTGACGCCGCGGCCCTGTCAAAACTTGGGTTGATATGTTTAAGTACTTGGGCACCCATATAACATCAGAAAGAAGATGTATTAAGGAAGCTAAACGTTGAATATGGCAGCAATTTCACAAAATTAATATTTTATGCAATATTTCTTTATCAAATGAGACGAAAGAGCGAATTCTTCGAAGCTATATAAATTTAATACTACACGTGGATGTAAATCATGGACAGTTTGTAAATTATTGAAAACTTATTTAGAAGCTGCAGAGATGTGGTTTTATAGACGAAAGATGAGAATACTCTGGACAGATAAAAAGAGTCACGAAGAGGTCTTGAAAGAAACTGACTCACAAAGAGAACTGATTGCCCACATCAGAAAGAGACAATCTACATTCTTTGCTCATGTGATGAGAAGGAGAAAAGTTGAGTACGTCGTGACTGTAGGAAAGTTAGAGGGGAGGGGGGCAGAGGGAGACCGAGAAAACAGATGCTGGACAGTCTGACATTATGGCATGAAAGATAATCTGTATAATTTGAAGCACACGAGACAGAGGGTTGTGGCTAGACATGACTACCAACGCCACACGGCATGGACTCTAGAATAAGAAACGTTGTGCCTTCTTGGACATCCGAGCCACGTTGATATTACAGATCAGCGCCAGTTCACAAATTCCCCAGCCGGTTGCTCGTGAAGATGCCGTGTCTAGAGAGGCTAGTGTTAGGCTGGCTCTTTTATGCAGATTCGGTACACGTGACGTCACTATGACGTCACGGCCGGGCGAATCTGCTTGGACGTGCCTTCAAAGTTGTTTCACGCCTCTAGATACGGGTCTGATCAGCAATCTAGGTGGCCGGGATGTTTTTTTAATTTGCTCCACTTAAGTTGGTAATACAAATTCAATAAATTAATTTTGTAGTGAGAATGTAAGAGTGAATGGACTGAGGAAGAAGAAAGAAGAAAGTGAGTGAGCTCAAAATAAAAAACTGAAAAATAAAAAACAGGTCTACAAATCAATCAGAAGACAAGAGATAGATAGCAAAGCTCTGTAACAAGGGCGCACACTTATAAGCTGTCTCGCGCGCTCTCTCTCTCTCTCTCTCACACACACACACACACTCACACATACCCCCTCACATACACTTACCCACGCACGCGCTCGCACACACACGCAACCGGCTTTTAAAGATATAGACTTCTTCTGCTTCAGCTTCTACATTTGCTTTCTTATTTCATTGACTTATGGGCCGTTGTGTTGTCCTTTGCTTAACTGAATTTCAAATTATTTCAGGTGTATTATACAATTTATTAGCTTTTCGGTGATTTAAAAAATAATAATAATGAGGAGAGCGTGTTTTGAGGGTCTGGGGAAAGGCACTGAGCCTTTCACCCCCTTTTCTTACAATGTTTTCTTAGTTTATGGGGGAGGGGCGAAGTGGTGCTGAGAAAAGTCTGAGCACTTCTCAGCACCCAATGTTTTCTTGTTTAGCGGTGTGCCTGCTCTCTTCTGATGGTAGATCTACATAGGTGTGTATGTACGTTTGTGTTTGTATGTATGTATGTATGTATGTATGTATGTATGTATGTATGTATGTATGTATGTATGTATGTATGTATGTATGTATGTATGTATGTATGTATGTATGTATGTATGTATGTATGTATGTATGTATGTATGTATGTATGTATGTATGTATGTATGTATGTATGTATGTATGTATGTATGTATGTATGTATGTATGTATGTATGTATGTATGTATGTATGTATGTATGTATGTATGTATGTATGTATGTATGTATGTATGTATGTATGTATGTATGTAGTATGTATGTATGTATGGTCGTATGTATGTATGTATGGTCGTATGTATGTATGTATGTATGTATGTATGTATGTATGTATGTATGTATGTATGTATGTATGTATGTATGTATGTATGTATGTATGTATGTATGTATGTATGTATGTATGTATGTATGTATGTATGTATGTAGTATGTATGTATGTATGGTCGTATGTTTGTGTATGTATGTATGTATGTATGTATGTATGTATGTATGTATGTATGTATGTATGTATGTATGTATGTATGTATGTATGTATGTATGTATGTATGTATGTATGTATGTATGTATGTATGTATGTATGTGTGTGTGTGTGTGTGTATGTATGTACGTACGTTCTTTGGGGGGTGGGGGGGGGGTGATTTTAACAATTATTCCTTTCTTTCGTTGTTCTGGGGCTATTGTCCCTTCCCATATTTTGTTAAATAGTTACAGCACTTGGATATTTATCTCATCCGCTTCTTTCAGCAGTTCTGAAAATACTATCATCACCCGCCGTCTTGTTGTTTGCTCTGGAATATATTGCCCTTTTGATTTCTGTAACCTTAATCTAGACAGCGTACGAGACTTTGTACAGAAGAACATCTAGGGGGAAGGCAAGATTACGATAATTCAAGAAAGAGATGGATAAATGTAGATGAAACAGGCAAACAGTTGAACAAATCTATCACCCAAGCAACCTGAGAAGCGCAAGATTGAAGATAAATACAGAAAACCGCGACACTGAGCTACAAACTGGTAACAGTGAGACGAAAAAAAAAAAACAACCCTAATCTGGTCCTCATTTATGGGGAGTGTGGGACTTTTTTTTTTTTTTAAGAAAAACAAATGGTAACGCCAATTACTTTACTAACTAGGTCTGACACTGCAAGCATAACTTATTAACTATTAACTTTGCTAATCTTTCTCCATTTCCATTCATGTGTCGACTCCTTTTTTCCCCCACTGCTCTCTCTCTCTACACTAACATTGTAAGTAAAAATATATCTAAGTAAATATCTAATCTTTAAAAAGAATGTCTTACCTCTGACTCTCCAGGTCGCCCAACTCCAACAAGTGATCTGGAAGGAGCTGGTCGGTTTCCATCGCCAGACGCCCGAACCATCAAAGAATATCTGGGATCCAACAGTTCGTCTGCAAGTCGCAGGACTGCAAAATCTTCATCGAAGGGTGAAAATCGAGGAGTTACTGGGAACATTATTGCCAGTAAAAAGATATGTTATCACTTTTATCTAGGTAAAAGTTAACAGAAAAGAACGCGCCGATCACAACTTCCAACCGCCGCGGTTCTCGTTTGAAAGAAAAGAGCAAACGCTAAAAACCGTTATGCCAGATAGTTTTTGCCAGTGAAAGCCAAATTAATAAAACACATGCAGCATGAGTTTATGAACATTATAAGATTTATAATTATAATATATTATTTTTGATACAGACAGATAAAACGAGCAATGAATATGTCTTAAAGAAACAACTATGGCTCATTGAAACGATTAAATGATACAAAGGCTCCAACACAACGAAAAAAGTATGGTAGTTGGGGGGGGGGGGGTGGTTTGAGGGGAGTGGCGGACATGCTCATGACACAGTTTTTGGAGTTCTTTTTATCCTTGTGATTGATAGTTCCTAGCACAAGTAGATGACAGATGATGAGAAGGCGTGGGTTCCAGTGAAAAGACACTCTCGTTATATAATATTCTCGGGTTGTCTCAACGTGTGTCATATCCAACGTTAGCGTCGTTTCTTCAACTCTTTGTTCACTGAACCCATTAATGAATGTTTATAGTTTATTAGTAATTACCTTAGTTGTTGGTTTTCACTTAGTCCCTTTAAACAATTTTTTTCGAGCTGGGTGGTAACTAAAGAAAAAGTGGTGGGAAATTCAGTGTAGATTAAGCAAGAAAGGACGCATGGGATGAAGCTTACGACATGTGTACAGTCAGGGTGCTACCGGGACAATCAATATCTAAATCTTCAGATATTTACTGCGAGACACGGGTCTTCTACGGGTATGCCATGTATTCTTCATATCGATTTTGAAATCAATAATCAGTACTAAAATAGCGCATAATTCTACGTTAAAATGTAATGAACACTGTTTATCTCAAAAATGACACATAATTTTATTATATTATTGTTTTATTACAAACAACAACAAAAACAGCCACCAGTATCACCGCCACCACCACAACAACAGCGCTCGCCTGTAGGTTAGCAGATCTTGCATTCGAATCCATATCAGGCAGAGTAGGGAAAACCCTGACCTTAACTGCGAGGTTGATGCACCATAAAATGGATACCAGAGAATGTTGTGAGATGTAAAGGCGGCCATTTTGTGATAGTTATCGCATTACCTATCGAGTGTCGATAATTCTACACCAGATACTATACTTGTATTATGTGCCCTAGGCGCCATTTTCGTAGAAATTCTCTGTTAGTTTTACCCTTTGATAAACAAACAATAAAATCTGTAACGTCAGTGTGTAAAAAAAAGTCTCAATAAGAGAACGGGCGATGACACATGTTTGAGTGTTGACCATAGATGGAAGCAGATGTCTCTCTCCAGCCAGACGCTATCAATATTTAGTTGAAGTATGTGCGAATGTATATCTTCCTCTGTCTTCTATTATGTCCTGCTGCTTGTGTCACGAAGTATCTCAGGAAAAAGCAGATAAATTTTTCTAGATATTGCAAGATATGTAGATTTTTAATAATGTCTCTTTGTCTCCTCCTCCCCCCCTCCCCCCATCCTTCTTTTCAACAGGTCAACCTCCTGTTCTATGCCCCCCCCCCCCCCCCCAAAAAAAAAAAAACTATTCTTTCTGTGCCAAAGTTTGTCACTATCCGTAGATTTTGCTGTTTTCATTAACCCTGCCTTCTCACAATACTGAACACTTGGACAGCCCATCCGGCAATTCAGATGTTACCAAGCTGAGATTTCCAATTTGGGTTCGCACCTTTAAACTGACCGAAAATGATGAGTTCAAGAAAAAACTGGCGCGCAATTCTTATTAGTTATGTGCAGCAAGACAATAAGTAACCGATCTAACCGATCATCATCATCATCACCATCATCAATGTCATAATTATCATCACAGAGATGTATACCCAGTAGTGCGGACGTCTATATTCCGTCATAAATTATTTTTTGTTATATTATGCTGTTATATTATACAATAATACAGAAATTCAGTCGCATCAGGCGGCACTGTAAAAAAAAAAGGGGGGGGGGGGGGGGGGGGGGGGGGAGTGGCATTAGCAGCGACATCAAAATACAATGTAAAAATTTTTTTTGGAACAGTGCAAAGCTATTATGGCGGCCTGTTGAAGACTTGCATCAGGCTGAGAAAATCTACCGCAGGGGACTGATGTTATATTATGCTATGTTAGCAGGAGCGTCGTGGGGAAGGGGAACCTTGGCCAGCTTACCAATATTTCTACAAAGTGTGTTTTAAAAGGGGAGTGGGGGGGGGGGGGGGTTAAAATAGCTTAAGCTATGTTTAAGCACATAATAAGTAAAATAAAATAAAAAAGTACACACATACAATGGGCTAAATGGCCAGTAAATAAAACAATCTATTTGAAATAATCAATGTGGGGGTCGGGGTAGGGTAGTGGCTAGACGTTCGCCTGCCGGTCAGGAGTTGGTTAGTTAGTTAGTGAGTCTTTCCTCTTGAGCCTAGGGTGGCGCCTAGGGCAGAGGTCATAGCTCTCCATTTCTGGCGGTTCGTTGCCACCTGCTTTGGGTTTTGGATGTTTGTTAGGCCCATAGTTGAGCCTTCCCTGACAATAGTTCTACACAGTTTCTCTTGGTCTTCCCCGTTTTCTTTTGGCGAACTGAACGGTGCGGTTCAAATCCATAGAGTTAAATTTATTTTTTAAATGGGTACCAGGTTATATCCTGAAATGTAAAGGCGGCCATTATATTTCAATGTGTTACAGGCGTAAAGTAGACGGTTATTTATACGATGGTCTCCCCATTTACATACAACCGGTTGTAAGTCAACTCCATTGATAAGCTGGTTGGACTAGTCTACCGTGGTCGAGGTTATGGGTGTCGCAGTCTGTTGTTGTCTTGCCTTTACGTTTTTATCTCCGAGAAAGAGACGGCCTGTTACATAGGTTTTGTCACTCTCTAGGGGGAGTTGTGTGTTAGACATAGTATCTAAGTGGTTTAGAGTGTTTTAAAAGCTCTGGCATGGTAAAATTTACAACATGCGGCATAAGCATGATTGCGGAATATCCCCGTGACCTTGTGTGAAAGTCGGATCGCTCGGGGACGACCTATCAGGAGTGAGGTGGGCTGTAATTCGTCCAATCAGAAGAGAGCTTGTGTTTAGCGGTGTGCAAATGAGGAGACCAGCGTAAAATTTACGAAGTAGACATTTGTTTTCTTATTTATACTAATATGAACTGTACCAACAACTACTTGAAACAGAGACCTATACACATTTCCATGTTCTATTCAGTTGGGGGTAGGGTGGGTGGGAGGGGGCATATACCTATTAAGTTATCAAAACTGACGTCACGAACATTGGTCATTCAAATGCATATTGTGTTCTGATGTAGCAGTATAATTTTCTTGGTGGCGCGCAGGAGGGGGAGGGGATTAAAGCTTTATTTAAGTGCATAATAATAATAATAATTGAAACGTGCTAAATGGCAAATAAATATAATAAAATATTTGAAATAATATCCTAACCGCATACTCAATGGCAACAGCAAGAGCCATACCGCCTGTCGTGAAATGATAAGCCATTACGCATCAGTCTGTAAGACTGGTAACCTAGCTTACCTGTAATCGGCACAAAATTCAAACTTGGACTCGCCCGGAAAGATATAGTCCCTTATATCTATATATATAGGCCTTTATTGGACAACATTATTATGTCTACATTTTCTGGTTGCTTTAACTAAACTCCACTTTTAAATGTATATATCTTCGATATATATTAGAGGAGTTATTTGAGGTTTCTTAGAAACCGATGCACACCTTGCCCATGTATACTAGGGACTTCTTTTTTTACCAACGCCTGAAGTGCGTAAGTGACGCCATTCTTTCTTGCCGGTTCCAAGCGTCCAGACGTGTCAATCTATGCCTGTATAATTTCAATTTCACAAGGCGATCTGGAATGTCTCAGTTTTTGCATATGCTTGGGTAAGTTAATTATAGTTTACGAGTACCTAAAATGATGTCTGTAAAGTAGTCACTGCTGTAGAGAGATCAGTATCGGCTGTGGGATCACACATAGTTCGACCGTTCTTGATCGCTAGAGAAGCGGATTCGAACGTAGACCTTCCCCTGTACAGACTAAATAGCCTATGCCCTCAATACCCACCCATACTGGAAAACCTATAACCTTACAAGTGTGTACTATTTAAACTAATTATAGAAGTTTGTGCATACAAAATGGGGACAGAATTAGGTCAGGACTTTGTCGGCCAGTGTGTAGAGTGTGTTTGACCCAGATCAATGAATGATAAGACGGGCTTTGGGAGTCTGAGGAATAAATGTACTGACAGTAAATATTGGTGTCTGTGTGCAGAGGGGAGGGGAGAGAGAGAGTGATATAAGTGTTAGAACACTCTATCTATCTCCACTGTATATCTGACTTGCCTTCTCTTGCACTAAACAGACAGATGAATATAGGAGACTTGTGTCTCCGGGTCTGGAGAGACATTCTGAGGAATGAAACAGGAGAGCAGGGTGGAATAAGCAGATGGGGGTTGATGACTGATGCTTGTTCTGTCTTTCCTGTCAAGATGTTACCCTCTTGGTGATGACTAATTCTGAGTTATTTTCTTGACAGGATAATGGAGCAATGATGCGCAATACAAGACTCTTAATGTCTATTAGCCTCTCTTGCTCAAGCCTACCTCACCTTCACGTGGTGGACCCTGTTCTTCCCAGCAATCCAGTTGAAGGTTGGGGTCTCAACCCCCAGCGGGAAACTGGATGGGACAACAAACGAGGTAAAGGCGAAAGACGAATAGATGAGCCTTCTCTCCTCGAGTATGATCACAGTCTACCCTAGTAAAACAAGGTGCTGAAGTCGGAGGCAACCAGCCAAGAGGCGCACCACAGCAATCAGGATGCCACGCATACACGCCATGGAAATATGTCTATATCAGCAAAACGTTATGGTGCTCGCCCTGTGATGGACTCTCAGGCAGGAGCAGTGCCGGGCCCTCTGCCTCGAA